TTTTAGGAAATAATTTAATGAGTCCATTACGTTTTACATCCATCAAAATTATTTTTAAAGAATTATTCGAGTTACCTTATTTAATTATTGTTTAAATAAATGTCTCATTATTAAAATCACTCATATTTAAAAATTATACAAAAACAAGTAAACGAAATACAAACTAACGAAGTACTATGGTGGTGATTACTTCTACGGGAGTGTTTGCTAAAACTTAAAAAGTTCTTTTCAATTTTTGATTTAAAAAAGTTGAAATAAGTATTTTCAAATAATAGTTTCTATCTTAAATGAAACACTTAAAAGCTAAAATAGTGTTTTATATTGCTATTTCACTTTTTCTAATACACAAAAAATATTTATTTTATCAAACATTACCAACTTTTATTTTTCAGAAGCATCTTTTTTTTTCAAAAAATAAGTATTTTTTTTCAAAAATCACTTTTTTTGGAAGTAGTAGAAATTGCAAGCACTCCCTAGGTCTGCTTTTGTGGCGCTTTTGAATGCCTTTTAGTACGGGGTATTAGAGTATATATATAATAATACTACCTACTAAATTAGAGTATTAGACGCAAAAAAGAAACTCCATAATGGCAAATTATACGGTATGATCGGTATACGGTGAGCATCGTATACCAGACTTTATTTTTGGCAAGCAGCGTATACGGTATTTTTGACTTCTTGATTTTTTATTCCTTTTGTTGTTAAAAATTGTAGAATTTTTTTTATTTCATATCCGATTTTTATAAATTTTATATTAAATTTTGTTATTTTTCATGATCTATCAAATGAGACCAATATTGCTTATGTAATTTAACAAATTATCGAACTATTATATAAATGATTATTGGATTATAAGGGAAACCAAACTAAATTTAATACAGAAAAATAATTGTGTAAATCACAATTTATCTTAAAATTGTGTATATAAAAAATTTATTGTATTATGTATTTATACATGTGAGTTACATATTTTTATACGTAAAGTTACATATTTGTACACGTAAAGTTACATATTTATACACACGAGTTGCATTTGGCATGCCTGAACGCGAGTTATATATTTTTACACGTAAAGTTACATATTTTTATACGTAAAATTTCATATTTATACACGCGAGTTACATATTTATACACACAAGTTGTATTTGACCTCTCTGAACGCGAGTTACATATTTTTACACGTAAAGTTACATATTTTTACACGTAGAGTTACATATTTATATACACGAGTTGCATTTGGTTTGACTGGACGTGAGTTACATATTTCTACACGTAAAATTACATATTTTACATAGATTAATATAATAGTTCGATAATATGTTAAAATTACAGAGGCAATATCGGTCTCATTTGAAAGACCATGAAAAATAAAAAATTTTGATATAGATTTTATAAAAACCAGATCACAAATGAAAAAGTTGTTATAATTTTTAACAATAAGAGAAATAAATAAATAATAAGACTCATTATCGTTTTAATACATGTTTCATGCAGATTTCAAAGATGCCTAAAAGCGTATGCAAGTAATAAGGTATAACAACTTCTCCATAATAGGGATTAACAAAACCTTTTTTGGCATTTTTTGAAAATGGCAGCTTGCGGTGTCGGTGGGGTAAGAAGCTGCCCTCACGTTTCTCATACCTCGACAGCAAAATGTGACTGAAAATGCGTAAGAAGGGAAGGATGAAATTGAGCACTGGACATTTTCATAGTGCCCCTCACGGCATCTCGTTATACACATTCCAAAATCTTGTGATGTTCTAATGTTGAGTTTGAAGGTTTGCAAATTATGATAAATAAATGTTTTTCTTTTTGCAAACGTCCTTTTTGGAGGGGGTATCCCTGGGGTCGCTGGGGTCGGAGCAGGGGCGGATCCAGGATCGAGAGATGGGGTGGGCTAAGAACAAGTAATTTTTTTTACTATACATACCAAATTTAGCCCAGAGTTATTATCGAACAAAGATTTTTTTGAATTATATACTCGAGTTCAAACTTGATTTCGAATCTAATTTAATGAATTGAGTTTAACAAGTTTCGAACTCAAACACGGAGTAGGTTTTGAGTTTGAATAATTATTCAAGCCGAGATCGAACATAGTGATGTTTCGATCCGAACACGAGCCTATCGTTCACATATAAATTATACTATTGTACATATCATAAAATTTAAACGTTTTAGTGCAATTTTTATAAATTTATTAATGATTAATAAAAATTTGAATACTTATCGAATAATTTGAACATGAATCTATTAACGAGAATAGTCTAAACTTCTACATTCGAGCATGTCTATCGAGCATTGAAATCCAAATTTGAGATAGTTTGGATTTCAGGGACTACAACATGTGGAGGATCCTCATTGACTATATATTGCACTGTTGTAGGTATAGGTTCAGAACTCCCTTCACCAGTTTGACGATTCACTTTCGAAAAGAATGATGAAATCAACTTCTTTCCCTTCTTGGCAACATGTTCATTATCCATTCTAAAACACATTTTCAATATTGGTATATATTAAAATACTTATATATAAAAAATAAAATTACTCCCTCCGTTCTTTATTAACTGTCTCGCATTTCTTTTTGGGACGTTTTTTATTATTTGTCTCTCTTTCAATTTTAAGAAAGTTTTTGATAAAATAACCCCACTTTTATTACTTTTACCCCTCTTACTTTTCACAAACTAATTTCTCTTTCCTACTTTATCATAACTTTACTCTATTAATATACTCTCTTTTCTACTTTGTCATCACTTTATCATCACTTTACTCTTTTTAATATACTCTCTTTCCTACTTTATCATTTACCCTACACACTCTACATTTACCCTACTATTTTTCTATTAAAACCCGTGCTCAAGGCTAGCGGGAGAGATAATAAAGAACGGAGGGAGTATTTAATTATGTACTGAAAAATTCAATTAATAATCAAAACGATTGTATGATTCTCTAGCCCTAAAACTCTAAAATGCTAAAAATAATAATAATTAATACATTAATAGTTTAATACACAATCGGTTAATCACGGTTTACAAATTCACGGCAGAAGTTCATAACTTCACTGATTCACAAATTAAAATTCACGAACTACACAAATTAAAATTCAACACCAACACCAAACTCAATCGGTCAAATTATACCAAATGGGCACAAATTACTTGGTAAAAGGGCAAGACCGCAAGAAGATTTACCTGGAGGAATGAAGGCTGGCCGCTGGACTGCCGTCTGCCGGAGTGTCGGTCGTTGGAGCCTGGAGGACTGGTCGAGAAAGCGAGAGGCCGAGAGAGGAAGGCTGGAGGCAGTCAGGTCGGTCGGAGCCAGAGGCGTTCGGCGTTCCGTTCGCTGCTTCAGTGCGGCGGCTGTTCCGTCGCCCTTCACCGTTCGCCACTTCGCCCGTTTCGTTCGTTGTCTTCGTCCCTTCGGTGTTCGGAGAATCGGAGGTTCCGAGGTTAAGTTGCCGACTGCGTGTGCGTAACTGCGTAACGACGTATGGTTTAGTTGCCAGTTTTTTTTTGTGGGCTGGGCTGGAAATTATTTGTGGGGTGGGCTGACAAATAATTTAGGCTGGGCTGAGATTCGAAAATGTACCAATACTATTAAAAAAAATTGGACCGGGCTGAAGTCCACCCCTGACCTAGCATACATCCGCCCCTGGGTCGGAGGACGAGGTTGGGGGGTCCCAGGGGAGAGAGAATACAAGAGCTCAAACTACTCTCGACGGGAATTGAACTTCTGACCTTCAGAATAATCGGATGACTCCACAACCAAGTAAGCTAGTTGCTTTGTCATAATAGATTTGTTCATTAGTTTATTACTTATATAAAAACTACTACGTAGTAGGGAAAAAATAAATTACTCCGTAATAAATATCCTAAACATTGAGAAGATGTGAAGTAAACATATCTAAATATGTACATTTAATTTAAACATCTCAATTTTAAATAAAAATTTATTTTAACACCATTATCATATATTATTTATTTTGAAAAAGTAAATATGCGATGTTATTTAGATGATGTCTTGGATTTCCTATATACTAATGGACATTTGTGAATTTGTGGTGTTATTATACTACTTGCACATTTGCAAATAATCAATTTGAGTATTGCGTAACGGACTGTGAGAGTGTGGGTAGCTGAACGAAAAAAGTTTAGAAATTGGGTATTCCAATGAAATATCTTAAGACACATATTCTAAACTTAAAATTATGTGATTTAAATTTGAAAACCACGTGATTTAAAGTTTAGTGAACAACTTTATGTACCTTCAAAAGCACGTGGTTTAAAATTTAGTTTCAACTCTATGAACTTTCAAAACCATGTGATTTAAAGTTTAGTGAACAACTTTATGTACTTTCAAAAGCACGTGGTGTAAAATTTAGTAAGCTTCATGAATTTTATTGATTCAGAATTTGAAAAATAAGCGAATTATCACTTCGAGATTTGAATGATCGATTTAAGACGTGAATGATGAAAAACTAATGATCTGAAGCCTGAATGATTGAAAAATGACTTAAGTTTTCATAAAATCTACTTTTATTTTAAAAAAATTAAATACTTCATATAGAATATTATTTAGTTTTATTGAACTAATAAACTTTTGTGAAGAAATTAATCAAATATTAACAATGGAATTAATAAAAATTAAACAAATCAGAACATATGGAGTATGAAATGTTAAATCCTAGATTGATATTTTTGCATTATTCATATCCTACATCAACACATTTTAATTTTCAGATCCCGAATTAATTATGGGAGAAAAGTACAAATATACCCCTGTAGCATGGCATGAGAACAAATATACCCCGTACTATTTTTCAGAACAAATATACCCCTGAAGTATATGATGAAGTGCGTATATACCCTTGAATTTTTAAAAAGTGAAAAAATACCTCTCATGTTCTTATAAGAATATGAAGGGTATTTTGCACTTTTTGAAAGTTCAAGGTATAAATGCACTTCAACATATACTTCGGAGTATATATATTCCGAAAAATAGTACAAGTGTATATTTGTTCTTAGCCTCAATGATATATTTGTACCTTTTCGACTTATATTTACATAGCATGTTATTTATGACATTCAAACTTTGTGAAGTCTTAAATTCCGCACTTTTTAAATTTCGACATTTCTGAACTTCTAATCCGTAGCTCCGAGTTTACGGCCTCTAACTCTTGATTTGATCAACTAGTGCAGTGGTTTTCATCTCATATTACCGGAAAAGCTTGAAAATGCAAATCGAATCAGGTGAATATCAGACTCTTTCCCCACATATTTTAGCAGCAATCATTTCTTAAACGCATGATTGTTTATGCAGTTACTAAATTTTGCAGTATCGGAATTTTTGAGCGGTGTGCCATTGCTGCAGAGATTGCCGAAGTCTTCGGTCACGAGAATCGCGCAGGTCGTTGAGGTTAAGAATTATGGTAAAATACATGATCATGCTCTACTCTTTTGTTGATGGTGTCTTTTTAGTCAAATCTACCTTTTGGCAAAAAGAGGAAATTTTGAGTTTTGACCATTCCCATTCTCCACTCGAATCTACACTTAAATTCAATGCTTTTACTATGTAAAACTAATCATTCACGATTTTTAAAATACGGAGTAATTCTTAACTATCTAGAAAGTAAAATTACACATTTAAATCTTTCCTGTATGCTCTCCGGTTCCTTGGGTTTTATTGATGTCTGATGGGAAAGGACCTTCTATCTTTTCTTGTCAATTATTGTTCAAATTTCGTTTCTGAGCTCTCACTTGTGCATTTATGTTATTCTGTATATGTACAGTTGAATGCTGAATTGCTTTGTAACAACAGTTTTTTTTAATATTTGACACTCATCTTTCTTTGTTTGACATTTCCTCACCGTTTCCATTTGTGGCTGTATTTCTCTTTTAAGAAAGAGGTGATTATGTACTACGTGAAGGGGAAGCGGGGGATGGAATTTACTTCATATGGAGTGGAGAGGTAAGTTTGTAGTGTTCATAACTTCATACTGGTTTATCTCTTGACTCTTGCAATAACATATGGTTATTTCTTTACCCAAATCCTATTCCTTCATATAGGCTGAAGTATGTGGTCCTGACCATGATGATAAAGACAACCACACCGAATTTCAGTTAAAAAAATATGATTATTTTGGTCACGGTCCGATTTTTCCTTACATCCCTCACCTTTCAGTTAAATCCTTTGAATCTTTTTGCTGTTGTCATTGTCGTAAAGATCTCCAGTGAGGTGGATAACACTGAGGATTGTGTTGCAGGTCTCACATCATCCGCTCAGCATGCTGATGTAATTGCACTCACTAAAGTACTCTTCATCTCTGAGATTAACATTCTTTCTCAATCAATTTCATCTTTACCATGTAGTGATCATCTAACTTTGTAATGACTTGCCACCCGTTTTTTATGGTAGCTAACCTGCTTAGTGCTGCGTCATGAACATAGTAATCTACTACAACCCAAATCAATATGGAACGCAGACATAGCAGTGGACAAATGCTCCCTAGTGGAGCACATATTGCATTTGGAACCAATAGAAGTATGTATTTGTCTCTAATGTGTATTATTATGTTTAGTTATCTTTTGTTCATTATTTTCCATATCCTTTCAATTTATTACTCTTTATTTTTTGTTTTTGGTTATCAGTTATGACAATTACCAAAATTTGTTTTTGCAGTGTAAACTGTAACAATCCCAATAGACTTTTCCCCTTGCAATGTTTATAAAGAGTCCATAATTATCTAGAACAAACAATTATGGGGTATATTTTTAAAGGATTACTCCAAAAAATTATCCCGCATTCTTACTTAACATTAACTAGACGGGAATAAGATGAATTTAAAATGAAATAAGTATGTTTTATCCACAAATACATATACCATTTACATTTTTCTGTTGAAAACTGGCTATTGCTTTCGATAAGTACTCCGGTCATAATGTCATGGACCCATGGTATCTGCATATCCATTAAATTGCATTTATTGTCTCAAAACAATTGCTCTAGATAAGAATAAAACATAATCTTTTCTTCATATAAGACTACCATGTTTTGCTTCAGATATTTAGTCATAGGTAATGAATATCACTCTTTAAATAAAGAACATAAACACAGATGGTCATAAGAAAAGAAAAATTTTATTTGAGAGAGAGCTGGGGCTTTACGAAAAGAAAGATCATGACTTGGTAACATTTAAGGAAACACCCATATGTTCTAATCATGTATAGATACATTTCTCATAGACTCACGCCCTCCATCAAATTTGGAAATTTGAAAGCTGTCTTTAAACTTATTTACTTAAATATGTTGTCTTGAAGCTTAATATCTTCCGAGGTATCACATTGCCCGATGCTCCACAATTTGGAAAAGTATTTGGAGGTCAATTTGTGGGCCAGGTAAGAAGCTTTTCTTGTAGATTATTGTGGTTGGGATGTGTTAATTTTTAGTGAAAATCATAATTAATTCCTCTGCAGGCATTAGCAGCAGCTACAAAAACTGTTGATTGGATCAAGGTTGTTCATAGCCTGCATGCCCACTTCCTTCTTGCTGGGAATATTGATAGTGAGCGACTTACTCATTTTAACTGAAAACTCTTCGGTTGCACTCCCTGTTTACTGATTTAGTTAATATTCCCAATTATTGATAGTTTATCTTTCAATTTGATGATTTTGAAAGATGTCTGCCTAGCGCACATGTATTGATTTTTGTTTCAATAAAAAGACATTCTTAAATCAATAGTTGTTCATACATAATAATCACAAGTGATGAGTGAGCAATAAAAAGAATTGAATAAAATCTTATTATTTTTGTCTGGTATGTGTATGGTGGAACCAGAAATGTTGTATTGGGAAGGCAGGGCTTGATAAATTAGACTAGGAGTTTTATCAATACAGGTCAATAAGAGACCTGAAAGATAAAGTGTGTCGATACAGGGCACGGATGATTGAAACTATCAATCTAAGTCCTAAAATATCACAGATTTTGATTTATTTAAATTTTAATCCCTTTGCTAATTTTTGATGTTTTATCTTCTCAGAGTTTTATTAATTATTAGTTTAATAAGATTAAATAATATTTAATTTTTGTTAGAACAATCAAAATATCTATGGTATTTTAGGTGTGAGATTGATAGTTTTCAATCATTGGGGTCCTGTATCGACATACTTTATCTTTCATGTCCCCTATTGATAGTGAATCTATTTCAGGTCCTGGATTGATAAAATTCCATTAGACTACGGGGGCCAAAGCTTCATATAAACATATGTGCATATATATACACTATCAAAATGTATTTGGGGGGGGGGGGGGGGGGGGCTAGCCTGTTTCCACTACTAAATATTTTCATGTACAATCTAAAGTAATCATCACTCTTTTAATTTATAGTACCAATAATATATCAAGTACACCGTGTACGTGATGGGAAGAGCTTTGCAACCAGGAGGGTAGATGCAATACAGAAAGGCAATGTTGTATTTACTTTAGTTGCTTCATTTCAGGTGATGTATTGATGGTCCGTGCTACTTTATTGCTTTAGTTAGTGCTGGACTTGATGAAACTGTATTATATACTATGTATATCATTATATTTAATAATCATTGTGTTTCCGTGTACACTATCACATATGATTAGTCAAAACCATATGAATTGATTTCTAATGGGTGAAAATATTTCCATAGAAAGAAGAAGACGGATTTGACCACCAGGATGCATTAATGCCTAATGTGCCGGATCCAGAAATGGTATAACGTGATTATATATTTCCATCTCATTTGCGCGGTTGCTCTTGACGCTTTATTCAAAACTATTACAGCTTATGTCAATGGAAGAGATGCGTGAAAGGCGCCTAACCGATCCTCGTCTTCCCAGGTTAAATTATTCTTACGCTAGGTCTTCCTGTCATTAAGCCCTTGTTTTGTGAGGATTTTAGTGGGAAGAGTAGGAAAGTGAAGGAGTTCTGTGTGTTTGGTTAGGGCCTAGGGGAGTTGGGTGTGTGTGTGGATGAACTATAAAATCCTCCAACTCTTCATGTATCACTCCCTAATTTGCGTGCAATATTTTGCTACTTCTTTCTTAATTTCTCTCACCTTTTTTGAACACCAATATTCTCATGCACTATTATTATTATTGTTGTTGTTGTTGTTGTTGTTGTTATTTTTATTATTATTATTATTATTATCATTTGATACAAATACATGTGATACACGTAAATGTAAATATTTGTTTGAATGCACCAAAAATTATATCAAATAAAATTTTTTACATAATTTTTCAAAACACTAGTTCCTCCCTGGTCCTTTAATTAACCACCTTAGTTTTCATCCCCTCCCCTCTTTTGAACCCGACAAGAGCTGCAAGCATTTTTCATATCTGTCTTTCTTATGATAAATATGAAAGCCAAGAGTGCTTTGAAAGGGAGGGGAGGAAGGTACAAGTGTGATGTGTGCTTACTAACTTAGCAAAGCTAAAAGTTTCTTTAGCACTCTGTCTTAATGGTTTATTTACGAAGCAGATTTGCTTATCTAAACAAACATTTTTCATTGATGCTTCTTATATTGTTTACTGAGACCCTTAATTCCCAGTAGTACTTAATTTATCCAGGACTTATAGGAACAAGGTAGCTACTGCAGAATTTGTTCCATGGCCAATAGAGATAAGGTTCTGTGATCCTAATAACGCAACCGGCCGGACTAAGAGCCCTCCAAGGTTAGATGTCATTTTTATCAGTTATTCAATTTCAGTCAGTACAGAATGAAATAGCCTGAACTATTTATTTGGGGCCTGGTGGTTCATGCTGCAGTTTGAGGTTTTGGTTTAGAGCAAAGGGAAATCTTTCTGATGATCAAGCTTTGCACAGGTAACAATTTTTTCTTACATTTTTCTAATTTAGAATTGTCAAGCTATGAGTTTGAAACATATTGCTGAGGTCCCAAAATACTTAGCCATATCTTAAAGTTTGGACCATGATTTTGATTTAGTATAATATAATTTTATGGAAGTTATAAACTTTATACTTTTATGAAATATGAAAGTACTTTTAACAAAGAACATTTTCTAAATGCACAAGGAAGGGAGAAAAGGAAATAAAAAACGAGATGGGTCAGCCGGATCTTGAAAACAGATAAATGAGGATGGAACCCCATTCATTGTTTCTTCTCATTGCTGGCCGCCAGCCATCTTCCTAATTTATTAGCGGGCAACCCACGACAGCCAAGGAAGAATAAGAAATAAATCCCTGGGAAATAACTTAATATAGGAACAAAAATAAAAATAAAAAGGAAAATGAAAATCATACGAAAACCAATGAAAAAATGACATGTGTCCAGATGACTCGCTGGATAGGTATAAGCAGGTCACCGGTGTGTTGTGAGAAGGTTACCCTTATAATTTAGATTATTCTAGAATTACTGCAACTTTGGATTAATATAAGAAGATAGTTTATAGTTGAGATTATTCATGTGAATTTTTCCTTGCATAAATGGGCTAATGCTATCTTTTGGGATGGTTCGTAGATGTGTTGTCGCATTTGCATCGGATCTAATCTTTGCTAATGTGAGTTATAATCCTCATCGCAATAGAGGGCTGAAGGCTGCTGCTGCCAGTCTGGATCATACGTAAGTGTTATAAGATACACTAATATTTATTTTGCATTCATCTAATACGGAGACTATACTGATTTTGAATTATTAAAAGAACAGTTGATTTATCGATTTCACTGTAGGACTTGTTGGTCACAATTCACAAATCTGCTTAACAACAATGTTAAGTCTAATCAGATAATATTTCTGTTATTTTTTCATAACTAATGTACTTCATTGGTGGTATTTAAATCGTTACTTCGTATTTGTTTATTAAATGGCACAAATGGGTGCACATGCAAAGTAACTTATCAATCAATGAAGCTCTATGAATACGATAATACTGTGCTAATATAAGTCTCTGCTGTTTGTCAAAGCAAACTTATGTTGGAAAGATAAGGGTAATATCTGTTTATGCAAATTTATGTAAAGTGTGATTTATTAAAGGAAAAATAAATAGTACTGTAATTGAAATCACGTACAAAAACAAGAAGTCAATCAAGAAAGAAAGTGTATTGAGCTAGTAATTGAGAGTATATTTCAGTATACAGTATACTGCAGAGTAATCGTACAATGAGATTGTCTTCTATTTAAAAGAAACACGGTTGAAGCTTTCCTGAGCATTTCATTGCCGTTTCAAGGGATCTGGTAACCTCCCTTGAATTCAGGGTTTGGTTAACTGCTCAGTTCCATTCAAACCAGGACTTCGCTGACTTGCTTGGCTTTGTCTTCTTTCATTTCCGTTGAGCTACCTACTGACAAATATACTTATTTTAATTTAGTAAAGTACATTTAAGTTACAATAATGCATACCCCTAGTATTAGTTAATATTTCCGCTCCAACAATATCTAAGCATGAATATTGATTCCTGCATTCCTATTTTTTTCAGGATGTGGTTTCACAGACCTCTTCGTGCTGATGATTGGATATTGTTCGTGGTAAGATTAAGTTGTAATATGTATAAGTACTTTGTACAATGGCAAATTTATCTCCAAACATGTTCTTTAAACTGGACAGATTAGGAGTCCATCAGCATATAATGCCCGTGGTTTTGTTACTGGGCAAATGTTTGACAGGAAAGGAACGGTAAACTACCACACATTCCAAACTTTTTTTGTCATTTCCAACTTTGTGCTTCCGCTTAGCTATTGATCCCCGCAAGTAAACCTTAGATGATGTGGTAATTTTTAGCTTGTGGCATCACTTACTCAAGAAGCGTTACAGAGACCCATCCGATCCAAACCACCTGTTGCTGTCCAGTCAAAGCTATAGAACTCATATCAGCTTCTTAAGTATTTGGTCTTCAAAAGATAGTAGTCGATAGCAGTGGCAAAAAAATCTCATATTGCTAGAAGCCTTCGTTTTTTTGTCTGAGCACAAAATCTCAAGAATAGTGGGCGTTCCCATCCTGAATTCTACATGATTCTCTTGTAACTTTGTACTGCAATAACGTTTGGACTGATTGATTATATTGAATAATATGCGTCTATGAGACCCATAAGTTTTATATTATACCCTTCATATTTTCCCATGGATTAAATTCTTTGCAAAGTAAATATTCATACATACACATATAATTTAATTCAGAAAATGAAAACTAATCTTGACTATTGATGTCACAAAAGATGAATGAGATTAATTTTAAGTTCAAACCATCAAACGTATTTTTATGAAAAGGACAATCAACTTTTAATGAATTTGTTCAATTCATAAGTGCAATGCATACGAAATAACGTACAATTATAACATTGTGACTTTTAGACACGCATTGATGCACACTCATACATACACCATGCACTCTAGCATAAAATATTGCACGTAAACTTTAAAACATTATATTTTTGTCTGTGTTTTTTGATGCGAAATTGATCTATTCCATCATTTTTATGTAATGAAAACCTAAATTTATTCTCATTTTTCATAGAATATATATTTTTTGAACCATACATTAAGAGATGCTTAGGCAAGTGCTTCCAAACAGGTTTCCTGCCATTCCTATTTCATTTTGGCCATTTCATAATTTAAGATATTGTTACACATTAGTAATGTAATTTCAGTCATTAAATGTTATTTTTTTCTCTTTTAAAACTTACTACGTATTTATTATTCAGAATAGTGTTATATTCAGTAAATATTTTTTTACATGATCAAACGAATATAGATTCTTGGGCGTTTTCATACATACATACATCCACATATCTATCATCCTAATTCCTAAGTGGATTAATGTTGTCTTGATTTTGGATAATTCATTTCATAAGTTCCTTTACGAACTATAAACCATATATACAAACATCATTCCATCCAATGATGCACTGATACTTCACTCCGATGACGTATCCGCGTATCTGATAAATATCTGATACCGATACTCACCGATACGCGTCTTGTACGTATTGGATCCGTATCAGTAATTTAATAAAAGTATTGGACTTATCTTTAAAAATACCAATACTTTCGATACCCGTATCCGTGAAGTGATACACGTATCTGACGCTATAACCCTCATTTCATACATGACCTGACGAAAATTTAGTAGCCGCTCAAGCGACCACAAGATGTGAAACATTGATAAAGATGATTTCAGGAGTATGGAAAATATTGAAATACTATAATTTGTCATTTTATCGCTTGATGAGCTTTAATTGAAAGTTTGAAACAAGACTTAGATGTAAATGAAAATAAAGAACAAAAAATATTAGGAAAATTTGACAAGAATAATCTCATCTTTCACTGGTCTTCTCATAATAATCCCAACTTTATGTAATCCCAGAATAATCCCACCTTTGCACCCCATCTTCTTTCGTTGGACCATAAGTCCATAACCTGTTGATAACCTACTATACCAGGTTTTTTACCCTATCTTTGAAAATCTTATATGAATAATCCCACCTTTCACAAATCTGCTCAAAACGGTCCCATGTTTCATTTTTTTTTCTCCCTAAAATTTATCTTCTTTATTTGCATCCTTAGACACTTTGCATTCCTTTTTGGGAAAACTGTCAAATAGGTCCTCGAACTTTAATAAAAAAGTCAATTAAGTCTTTCTATAGAAGACTCTATCCGGTCATCGCGATTTGGGGCCGTTCCCGGTGTAATTTTTTGATGCAATTTTTTGAACATCTTATTCATCAATTCTAGTTTACTAATACCAAATTTCAGCTAAAAATTCAATCGGGAACACATTCAAATTAATTCTTGAGGATAACTGCGCATTTTTGCGTTCTCAAATTAATTTGAATGCGCCCCCGATTGAATTTTTAGCTGAAATTTGGTATGAGTAAACTAGACTTGGTGAATAAGATGCTCAAAAAATTTCATCAAAAAATTCCACCTGGAATTGCCCCAAATCGCGACGGCTGGATCGAACCTCCTATAGAAGGACTTAATTGACCTTTTTATGAAGTTCGATGATCTATTTGACAGTTTTCCCTTCCTTTTTCTATCCTTTTGTTCTTATTTCTTTTGCATTTTTATTATTCTATTTGTTACTCTATTAGGAGATTTTTTTTTAAAAATTTCTCTTCAAAATAACTCTTTTTTGTCGTTTTCTTTTTCTTTCCTTATTTTATTTCATTTCCCCCTTTTATGTTTATATTCTTCATCATTCTCTTCTTATAAAAGATATGTTTCTCACTTTATTTTTTGTTATGTTTTCTTTTTATTTTCACGTTTCCACTTTTATATTTTCACTTTTAAAATAAGATACTCCCTCCGTCCCGTTGGAATGTGTTAGGAATATTTTATGGTGTCCAATCTAATTAAATATCTTTGTATTTGTGTAGTTATTAATTAAACGTGTAATACGGGTCACAATTGTGTATCAGCCTGGGGGCTTCCTTGTAACCCGTAATTTATCAAACTTCTCCTATAAAAGGAGGCTAACTTACGGGAACCCTAACAATCGAATGAGGCTTTAGAGTTCAGAGGCGTAAAGATAGAGAGAGTAGGGTTTCCGCTGCTCTCCTTCTCCAGGGAGGGCAGCGGGGTTTCATACGGTATACCAGATTCGTGTATAATATCGATATCTTTCTATCTGCTTCTTCTTAACTGCTTTGGTTGTATGATTGTTTAGTATTCTGGGTTCATCAATTGGTATCAGAGCCGAGGCGTGAAACAGGTTGAATCTATCTGCGATTTTTTTTGGATCTAACGAAGAACTGCTCTGCTTTTCTTCTGTTTTTTCTTTGATGTAGAGATTTGCTCCTGTAATCTTGTTTGTGAACGAAATTTTGTAAAAATCATACTGTTGGACTCGCCTTTCAAAACCGATCCAGCAGCACACCTTTTTTTCGTTTTCTGCAATTTTTATATTTCGAAGATCTCTACATTGAGATCTCGAAATCCTTATTTTTCACTGCTGCAGAAACGTTTTTGACTTGAATCTGATACAGGAGAATCTCAACCTTCAGGGCTTTTCAGAACAAGTTTCAGATTTTCAAAAATCGATGTTTTCATTTTGCAGGATCTCGACATTTAGGGACTCGATTTCCTCTTCTCGACTTTTGAAATCTCGAGATTTGACATCTCGAGTTTTGACATCTCGAGATTTGACATCTCGAGTTTTGACATCTCGAGTTTTGACATCTCGAGTTTTGAAACCTCGAGTTTTGAAAACTCGAGTTTTGGAATTTCGAGTTTTGAGATTTCGACATTTGGGATCTCGATGTTTTGGATCTTGACATTCTGAAGATTTCGAGATTTTCAAAATTTCTCGATGTTTTGAATTTTTCAAAGTTTGGAGTTTCTTGAATCACTGATTTCTTCTAAACTTGATATCTTTCCTGTTCAGAACACTTCGAAGCTTTACATTTTTAGATATCTGAATGAATCTCTGCCTATCAAAGTTTTTAGAAGTTTTCGATGTTCTGATGTTTTTCTAACAACAAGTTTTCGATTTTCTAATGTTTTCGAAACTCCAAAGTTTTCGATGTTCCAAACATTTTGAAATTCTGCAGATTTCGATATTCTAAGGTTTGTTTTGCAGGTGGATTTCGCCATTATTCTTCGAGGCAAACTCGAGATTAAGATCTCGAGATTAAAACCTCGAGATTGTAATCTCGAGATTTAAATCTCGAGATTTAAACCTCGAGATTGTAATCTCGAGATTTAAAACTTGAGATCCGGATTTCAAGGTATTGCCTTAGAATTTTGTTTAAAATCCACCTGCTCTCGATATTCAACATCGAGAACCTCAACTTCGAAGAAATTCATCAAAAACTCAAAATCAAAATTAGAGATTTTCTGCGACACCGCACTGTTTTGGCCATAACTTTTGACTCGGTGATCCGATTTGAGCAACCTTTTTTTTGTTGGAAAGCTAACGAAAATATCTACATTAATTCTTGGGATATGCCCCAGAACCCTTTCTCACGCGCCCTCACTCACAGTCTTTGAGGGTTAAAACGTTAGTTTTCCGACAAACATTGTAAATCACCAATGTCCAGATCAAAACTTAGGCAAATCTGTTCAAATTCTTTCAATGTCAACCCAGAGGTCAAAGCTTTTCTATGCTCCCCTGTAAAGGTCCGAAAATCGTAGATAATTCAATCAACCTCGCGTCAACGGTCATCTTACAACAATCAACAATCAACCACTGAAGCCTCCTCTGACTCATCAACATTATGTGATCATCAATATGCTGAAATTCTACATGATGAGTTCAGGGAAACCGTCATGTGTGGTACTTGTTCAGATTGCTCCTCACACATGGCGGGTATGACAAGCTGTGAGCAATCAAACCTTGCACATTCTGAGGGGGAGTTTCAGTTTTCTCCTCCTGGCGCCTTACACCGACAAAGCAAGGAATCTCTCAAAGGATGCAACATTTTAGGGGAGTGTTCAATGTTATCCTTCCCGGTACCTAACAATGACAAAGCATACCGAGTGCTCCAGTTGAGGGGGAGTACAGAGAGAAAATGAACAATGTAATGAGAGAACATGTCCCTATGGCTTAGTAAACCCAACTAAGCCTACCCAAGGGACAAAACCGAGCGTAAGTGAGTGAGTGAACATTATGAGCGTTAGGAAGCAGAAGGCTCAAGTGAGAAGAAAAACAATAATCAATGATGAGTCTGCTACCTCAACTGCCTATTATCCATTGAACATTATTTACTCCTAGCCACTCAAATACTCTGGACAATTCTCAAATAGGTTCAGGACTGATTTAATCAGATCCCGGGTAGAAGTCACTGCATCTTGTCCGACAGTGCATGTTAAACCCTATCCAAGACCACTCACTTGTCTCCCAAT